TTTCCAATTCCTACATAACCAGGATGACCTGGATACCCCCCCCCCAGTGCCACTGAGCGTCATCCCTGAAGGATCCGGATGCTATGGATGGGTCCTAAGGGCAAAGTCCTCTTTCCCAACTTGAAAGAGATCACGATGGTCCAACCATTTTCTCCCATTATTTCCTGAGAGATACTGCCAACAGGTCTCAGAATTCACTGGCCTTATCACCCTTAAACATTAGTCCTAAATACTAAGTCTGCAGTGCTCCACGGTAGACTTTAAAGTGATATGAGCAGCATCAGCCAACGGCCAGAAGGGTGCACCCCAGAGTTTCAGGAGAGCTGCTCAGAACACAGAGTAAAGTGACTAGCTCAAGTTCACCAAGACAATCCATGTCAGAGGCAGAGCCTGAATGCCATGTGCTGGGCTACCTCTGCTTCTGTCTTTATTCTATTCTAAAATTAAGGTCCTCCTGCCAATTTGGAAGACAAACCACTTTATTTACCCAGATCGCTTCTGTTAGACAAGTAACCTCAAACCCTACAATTGGAGGAAGCTCAGAAGGAAGCCCAGTCCTAAAGTGCTGGAGAGGGTGACAGAGGGAGGGTCAGAATATTAAAAAGCCTTCAGGGACAACTGTGGCTCTCAAAGAAATAACAGACTCCTGAGAGGAACAGTCCCAAAGGTCTTTAGAGGTCACACGGTGCAATGGTTGCCAAAGTGTGGGCTATGGCCTGACCCCAAGGGGGGAAGGGGGGAAGATGGGCTGCATCTCACTATCCTCACAACAGTAAGTCAGGGCATGAGGCTTTGCTCCAGTATGATTACACCTGCCTTATTCTCTGACCCTCTTCCTCTACTGTGTAAGGTGCCTGTGAAAGCAGTCTAAAATGACAGGCTGGACTATGCCCAAGGGCTATAAAATGGTACATACCCTTTGATCCAGTAACACTACTACTCCTAGGTCTGTATCCCAAAGAGATCATAAAAAAAGGAAAAGGATGCACATGTACAAAAATATTTATAAAGCCCTTTTTGCTGTGGCAAAAAACTGGAAATGAAGGGGATGCCCATCAATAGGGGAATGGCTGTGGTATATGAATGTAATGGAATACTATTGTGAAATAAGAAATGATGAACAGACAGATTTCAGAAAAACCTGGAAAGTTTTATATGACCTGATGCAAAGTGAAATGAGCAGAAGCAGGAGAACACTGTACACAGTAACAATAACACTGTGTGATGATCAACTATGAATGACTTAGCTCTTCTCAGCAATACACTGATCCAAGACGATTCCAAAGGACTCATGATGAAAAATGCTGTCCACGTCCAAAAAAAGAACTGATGGACTCTGAAAGCATATTATTTTCACTTTATATTTTTTGTAGCTTTTTTCCTTTTGGTCTGTTTCTTCTTTCCCAACTGTGATTAATACAGAAATATGTTTTACATGATTGTACATATACAACATATATCAAATTGCTTACTGTTTTAGGAAGAGGGAGAGAAGGGAGAAAAATTTGTAACTCAAAGTTTTGTAAAAATGAATGCTAAGATTGTTATTACATATAATTGAAAAAATAAAATACTATTTAAAAAGAAAAAAGAAAATTTGCAGAGCACTGAGCATTAAAAAAATAGGAAAGTTAAGAGTCAGAGGAAATTTTCATTTTATTTGGTCAGACCTGTGTCTTAGGCCTAACAATTTAGCTGACATAGGTAGGATGGATTACAGAGGACAGAGTGGAGACAGGAAAGCCAATGAGGAGTTACCATAGTCTTGGTGAGAAGTCTTGGTGCACGTGTGCAGGTGGAATCAACAAGACTTGGCAACTGGCTGGACATGGAAGGTGAGGGGGAGTGCAGAAGGGATGGCGACTCTCCAATTCTGGACTTGAGTGACCCTCTGCATATGTACCGAGCTTCACAAATCATAACGCACTTTCATACCGCTGCCCTACTTGGTCCTCATCATACCACGCAAGTCGGAAGGAAAGGTGGTATTACAACCAATTTTATAGAAAAGGAAAACTGAGGCTCAGAGTGGTGAAGTGACTTACTGAAGGTCACATGATTAACAAGTATCAAGGCCAGGCCTAGAAACCAGACCATGTGAGCATCCTGTGCTGCTTCTGTGCTAAGCCACCGGAGACGGTGATTGGCAGAGAGCTCCCTGCCACAACGAGAAATCTTCATGAGACTTGTTTATGTGTTTTAAAAGAAACTATTATATGCATTGGAGAATGGAGATTAGAAAGTATTGTGTGACAGGCTATGGCTCAGAAAATAAATCTGCTCTGTTGTCTACCCCTCACCCTGGCTCTCATCTTACTAAAACACTAGAGCACTAAGGGGTAGAGCTAGGCTTGAAAAGACACAGGAGAATGTGAACAGACAAGTTAGACAGGTAACACAGGGCATATGTGGCAATAGATGAAGAACATGGCAGGCCACTGTTCTCAGGGAATAGTGAAAGCATCCCCAGGGGAGAGGAATGCTAACTAGCATTCTCTGGTGCTATTTAGGATGCGAAAGAAAATAATCAGCAAGGCCAGAATTAGGCTACAATCTTGCCCATAACTCATCTTTTTTTTTTTTATTTTTAGGCAATTGGAGTTAAGTGACTTGCCCAGGGTCATACAGCTAGTACGTGTCAAGTGTTTGGTCTGAGGCTGGATTTGAACTCAGGTCCTCCTGACTTCAGGGCCAGTGCTCTATCCATTGTGTCACCTAGCTGCTCCTAATTTTTTTTTAGCCTAAAACTCATCTGTAGGCTTTTAGGACATAACTGACAGCTTGGCCTACTAATTAATAAGCCCTCTCACATCAAGATGTGGGCAACAAATGAAACCAGAGAGAGAAGAATACAGATCTGTTTTCAGGAGTAGAGACTCAACCAAGGCTCTTACTCTCTTCCCCCAGGACAAAATTTAGAAGGGATATAGGTAATAAACCAATTTTCTCTCTGTTCTTCCTCCCCTCCTCCTCCTTGAAACACAAAACTATTGTAACAAATATGCAGGGTCAAGCAAATTCCACATTGGCCATGTCCAAAAAATACATATTTCGTTCCATATCTTGAATCCATCACTTCTCTGTGAGAAGGTGGAGTCCTCTGGAATCATGGTTGGTTACTGAACTGAAAAGAATCTTCATAGTTGTTTGTCTTTACAGTACTATTCTATAGAACCCACGTTCTCTGGGTTTTGCTCACTTTACTCTGCTTCAGTTCATACAAGTCTTCCCATTCGTCATTTCTTACAGCAAAATAGGATTTCATCCCATTCATCTACCATCATGTGTTCCCCAAATGATGGGCACCTCCTTAGTTTTTGGTTCTTTGCCGCTAGAAAAAGAGTTGATGTAAATGTTTTTGGAACATTTGGGTCCTTTTTGGCTTTCTCTGGTCTCTCTGTGGAATGGGCAAACTTAGTAGGCTATCAGTGGGTCACAGGGTTTAGTGACTTTCTGGGCACAGTTCCAAACTGCTTTCCAGAACAGCTGACCAAGTTCACAGGTCCACCAACAGTGCATTCATGGGCCTCTTTTCCTGCAGCCTTTCTGTTTGTTGGTTTATTTGTTTTGTCATCTCTTCCAAACTGACAGGTGTGAGGGTATGAGACCTCAGAATTACTTTAATTTGCATTTCTCCTTTTATTAGTGATGTGGAGTATTAGAATAGTTTGGATTTTTCCAAACGTGATGCATCTGTGTCAACATAGTAATAATACTCTTTCACAGGCAATTTAGCTTGATATAGACTAATGTTAAGGGTGGTCCAAAATTCACTGATAAGACCTATACGTGAAGATATAAGCAAGATGAGGTATAAACAAACAAATCCCAGAACCAATATACTCAATTAAGGACCACTCCCCTTCTCCCTATTTTAGAAGGTGCAATAATTCCCTCATGAACATAATGGAGTTCACTAAACATAGGATGCAGATGGAAAGTAATCAGCAACCTTGAAAGTGGGGGCAACCTGAGAGGTTTGTTCAAATAGTCAAGCCCCTCCCAGGAGGGTCCCAAACTGCTGTTTAAGTGAAGTTGGTTCAGCCTTTCTCTTCTAAGTGCTTATCAAAGGTAATTAAAACTAAGGAATAGCCTTCAGGATCCAAGGTACTATGTTTCTAGCATGTCATGTAAACCAAAGCCAATAATCTCTCACTAAATCTCCTAATTCAAGAGTCCTGTCCTCCCTTCAGAAGTTGCCAAAGATCTGTAAAGCGGTCCGGGTGATGGATGACACCACACAGACAAAGCATTACCTCACTGCACCAACTAGGGCATCATAGCAAAGGCCTGAGGTTCCCTTCTCCTCCTCCCAATTCCCAAGAGAAAAACCCGAGAAGAATAAATATAATATTTAGTAACCTGGGGTTTTTCTCTTGGGGACTTAGCTGTGCAATGTGGAAAGTCCCGCTGTTCACTGCTGCTGTCTATGCGGTCCTCTGAGGTTGTGATATAGCGTCATGATTAGGAAGTGCAACACTCCCAGGGGGTCCAAGTTTTGCTTAGATCCTGTCTAGCTGCCACAAGAAGTGTGGATGGAAAGATCTTTAACAGAAGCTTTCAGGTCAAAAAGACCTGGGTAAAGGAGGGCACGGAATGACCAGAAACTAAAGCTGAAGAGTGGGTGATCCCCAGTCTGAATAAACTCAGCCTGCTGATCTCATTCCCTTTTCTCCAGCACAGCCTAGGCCACATGCCTCAGATCTCCCCATCCTGCCCCCTTATTTCATGGCCAGGCTCTTTGGAAGTGAACCAGTCTGAGGAATTTGTTAGCTCTCTGACTCTGTAAAGCTTTCTCAGTTCTACACAAATACTCCTGCCAGAAGGACTTCTCCAGTAGCAAAAAGGCTTTAGAAAACAACTCAAGCTTGGGAACACCCTGATCCAGAGAGCACCTGAACAGCTCTACCATGTAGTGGTATTCCCTATGGAATCTGCTGTTTTGTGTCGACAGGCTGAAGCCTGAAAAAGCCTTGGAGAGAAGCTAAGCCCTTCCTTACCATTGTAGGAGAGGCGTGGTTTGCTCAAACACATTATAAAGTGCATTTCCATCTCATCAGAAGCCACAGACTTAGAGCAAATGGGGCACTTGAAACCTGAAAGAGAGAAGAAAACATGATGAGATGTATTTTTCTAAGTCAAAGATGTACACATTAACTATGGTACATATTCAATTAACCATCATCACAGGGAGAAATTAAATTTATTCATTTGTTCATTCATTCAACACTTTCATCCTTGGTTTCAACATCCTAGCTTGCTAAAAACCCATCCTCACCAAACTTACCCCTTGCCTCTGCTCTTCCTAAGTTAGTGCTTTACAAGTAACAGGAAAATGTCTGATTTGATTTGCTTTCTTATTGGGCGGTGGGGGCAGGGAGAGAAGAAGGACAGCAGGAATGAGGAGACTTCAAAACAATTGACTTGAATAATCAGCTCATGAATTATAGCCAGCAAATACTTCTCCAACCCCCCAACCCCCAAATCCACTTAGGAAGAGAGAAGAGATGTAGACAAGCTTGGGAGAAGGAAGCACCTAGTTATAAGCAGAAATTATCAGTTAGCACTCCTACCCTATATTCCAGGGGCCCCCTCCTACCCTCTTCCTCTTACCTCAGGGATGGCAAAGTTACCCCACTGAGTAAGCAATGGTCTGTCTCTCTGGTTGTACAGGCTCAAGATAGATATGATTTTGTCACTGTTGTTGTTTGTCCTTCATTCTCAAAGAGGACCATGGCATCAGGAAGGCGATGCCCTGACTTGCAGGTGGATTGAGTTTAAGTGAGGGAGGGCTGTGCAAAGTCACCAGCCTTATCTTCTCCTCGGGAGCCATATGGGCCCAGGTCCAGATATAGATCAGGACGACTTGAGATGTCTTTGTCAACTACCAAACAGAAGAGTATTTCACAAACTCAACGAATCATGTTCTGGGTTTAGAACGTGTAGTGATCAAGGTCTTCTTATCTGCCCTGCATCCTGTTGTTGTAATCTACGCTCATTACCCCTAGATCTGCAAAAAGAAGCCTTGGCTTTGTAAAAAGTAGCATTAATTAAATTCAGCACTATAATCAGCCTCTGAAGGATTAAGCCCCTTGCTTCTTTCAGAGTTTCATACAAAATTTGATTAAGCTTTAGAAATTTATTTCTTGCAAGTCCCTGGAAACTTGAAACTCTTACAGGGGACTTCTGATTCACCAAGTCACCTTCCCTTCATTGCAACTTCTCTATTACTATCAAGGACACCACAATCGTCTTTGTTCGTCAACCTGGCTCACAACCTTGGTGTACTTATTCCTTGACTTTTCACTCAACCAACACAGCCAATCCACTGTCAAGTCTTCGCTGGGGCATTTCTTGGAAAGATACCCTTCCCTCCATTCCCAGTCACCATTATAGTACCAGTCTTCATCACCTCTCACCTAGACTATTGCAGTGGTCCCTGAATTAGTCTCACTGACTCCATTCAGCTGCCAAAGTGATTTTCTTAAGACTCCCTGTCTCACCATGCCATTCTCCTATTCACTAAGTTGCAGTGGCAAGATCAAGTATAAAAAATCCTCTCTTTGGCATTTAAAACTCTTCCAACCTAAACTTTTCCCACCTTTCCAGTTTTCTTATACACTTGACTCTCTCTAGGATCCAGCTGCATTAACCTTCCTTGCATACAACATGACTCCAGCTCCCACCTTCATGCGTTTATTCGCCTTGGCTATCCTGATGTCAGGCTTAGAATCCTCTCCTCTTCACCTCTGACTCTGAGATTCCCTGTTCAAGACCCAATTTAAACCCTACCTTCTGAAAGTACTTTGTAAAGTACAGAATACTACATGGATGCAAAGTATTATTAATACCAATTTTTTTTTTTAGCCCTATTCCTGGCCTCTATCTCTTCCTCCATTCTATTCTGCAGAACCTGGGCCCTGGGTAATTTCTACTATGCATCAAGTGGGTATCTCAGTTGTTTTTGTTTTTTTTTTTGAAATTCTGTTGATAGGAAAAGGTAAAGAATCTCAGATTTACACCCTGAATGACACTGCGTATTCCATTCGTTTTATAAGTTTAGTTTGCAGATCATATTTTAACAAGAAGCTAAAGGGAAAAAAGCAAGAAGGAGGTTCTATTTTATTTCCAAGAGGAACAAAAAACTAACTTCATGTGTACTTTACTGAAATGTTATTTGGTGATTGGGATTCAATTAAATAAGCATTTAGTACCATGTAATAAGTCACTGTGCTGGGACACTATGGATAGAAAAACAAAAACGAAAGAGTCCCTGCCCTCTAAGGCTTACATTCTACTAGGATGGAACAAATTCTATCGTTCAGTTTTTAATTTAAAATTCAGTTACGTTTAACTTAAACATCCCTAAGGGACAGGAAATGATGCAGTCTTTATTAGCTACCTGAATATTAAATAACCAGGAAATATGGCTACCAATTGAGGAAAAAAAACTTTGCAAGCCTCAAACGAAAGGCCTATCTGTAGAAATCTAATACATACTCCTAACTTTGTTAAGACCGAACACTATAAACCAGACCTCAAAGCATTTCCTAAAAGTTTCTGACCATAGACTTGCCTTCCCATCTCCATGAAAGCCGGGTGAGTACCTTCCTTGTTACTTAGTAAGAAGTACAGCAGGTAAGTTACTATGGGGTACCAAAATCCTTACTACCGCCATTGCTCCAGGCTCATCCCAACCCCATTTCTGAATAGCAGTAATTACCTCAAGAAATACCAATGAACTACATAAAGAAAAACACTTCCTCGCACATGACTGCTAGCCCAAGTCCATGACGTCTGAAATTTCCACTGAGTCACTCACAGGCTTCTACTACCCGTTACACAGGGCTGAAACTAACAACTGGAGTTGAGGAATCTCTTTCTGTTCATTTGCTTTCAGGAGTAGTAGGGGCAATTAGGGGAACCATACTCAAGCTAGGAGACTATGAAGTCATGATACTTTCAAAGAAAGGGTCAAACTCAGAAAGGCCAATTATTCTGCTCCATCTAACTTATTCTTTGTCTCCTTCTTCTAGTAGACTACACTGCACATTCAATAAATTTATTGAAATGAACCAAATTCTGGAAAACCCAGTTCTTTTCCGGTTTTGTTCCATCAAGGACGGGCTGTTACTTAGAAGAGGATAACATAGGGCCTTGTCTGTTCGAAGTAAGAACCAAATTTCTTTTTTTCTTCTTGTGATCAGAATAGATTCGCAAGAGCTCAGCTGGCTCCTATTCTTCAACATATATTTCTCCCCGGTCAATTGAGGAAATTTTTTCTGCTGGACCATTTAGAGTCCTGTACTGGTTTTCAACTTCAAGGAACTTAGCCGTAGGCATCACAACTTCAAGATACTTTTCCTTCAAAAATATTTAAATGAATATAGGAATAGTAACAACAGCAGCAGCATTTCATTCAAAAATGAAAGAGTCCCTGCCCTCTAAGGGTTAGCCTTACATGATCACTGATGATAATATTATCACTTATTCAGCAAGCTACCTCATATTTGTTGAGCACATTTTCTTTATCATTTAAATGTACTTCCCAGAACTGAACCAGAAAATGGACTGGATGCTCATTCCCATTTGACAGAAAGGGAAATTGAGTCATAACAGGGAATATTGGCCTAGGGTCTCACTGGAATTGCTGATCTGACTTCTAGTCTCATGCTTTGCCCATTTTATTTGCATACATGTGACAGGCTGTGTCAATATCAACTTCCATGTTCCCAAATTAAGCTTCTCCTTTAAGACCTGATTTCACCAAATCTTGTGGTTACTGCACATTGCTCCATTTTCCGCCCTCCCTCCTTCATGCTGATGTGCTATTTTAACAGCTGCCCTAGTTCTGCCTGTCTCTGGGATCACCTGAAGGGATGAACAGTCAGAAGAATCAAGAGAAGCAACCAGGGTAAAGGATAGAAAAAAAGGGGGAGAGTGGGAGAGAATCTGATGAGATCTTTTTTCTTCCCAGTGCAGAGGAGACAATGAGGGACTGAGAAGCTTGAGGGGCTGGCTTAGACACCCTTCTAGCCCAGCCTGTTTAGGAGAGGAACTAGACATCATGCCACTCTCCTCATTTAATTCTTGGTTATGAGCCAAGAAGAATTCTTTCCTGTCATATCCTTATGGTGTTTGAAGATAATAAAATAGGACTTGATTAATGGATTTTATTAAATGGATTTATTACATCTGGAAGTTCAAAGGGGAGGCATAGGACTGACTTGCTCTTCTTAAAATTCTGCATACAATCTAGGGCAGTTGCTGTGGATCCCCGTTTCCTCCCCCATAACACTGCATAGTTCATTCGGTGCTCTGGTGTGGGTCAGTCACAGTCCCAGAATCCTCTTCGTCAAGGACAGAATCAGCAGGTCTGGCTTTTTCCAACCTGTGAATCCACAGTCCACAAGCCTCCCAAACATCCCATGTGAGATTTGCTTTTGCTCCTCTGGGCTAGTGATGTGCATACCTGTCCCCAAAGAGACAGGGGAGTGGCCAATAATGTATTCACTGGCCCCCCTAAGGAGAGGCTAGAAAAAGGAAAAACTCTTGACAGTAATAAAAGGTCACATTCCATACTCAAGACTACGCTCTGCCTGGGGGTACCTGCTCCAGCTCTTTCTGGCTAGGGGGGAAAAAGCCTATATGCTAATATAAGATCCAGTCCAGTTCCTCAGTAATATATTTTCTTGTTTTTTCTCCATTTGTGATTTAGCTTCTTTAGCCTTCTTAAGGTTCTGAATATTAACAGTATGTGCAGAGGCAGGCTAGGAACCACTGCAGAATTAACTAGTACCTAACCAATGGAAGACAAAGCCTGGGTCTTCCTTTCAAAGACCCCTCATAATTCCCCACTTCCCTTCAATATTTCCAGGGCCCTTGTTTTTCCTCTGTGTGAGTTCTCCCACCATTTTCACAGACCACAAGTGTTTTCTGCCTCAGTTAAGGACAGTCATTCTGTGGCCAACCTCAGGATGAACTTTTCTGAATGAGTCTACACTGGCACACAAGGGGTCAGGCCTGGTATGTAGTTCTTCAAAGGGTCTACACCTGTTGACTTCGCAGTGTGGCCGAATCTTTTAGTCACTGCTAG